TTTAGGCTCCCCTCAACCCTGGAAACCACCAGTGCACTTCCTGCTTCTGGTTTTATCCATTCCGAACATTTCATGTAAATGGGATCATACAGGATGTCAGCTGTGTCTGGCATCTTTCACTCAACCTAGTATTTTGCAAGGCTCATCCACGATAGAAGCATTGGTCATTCCTTTCCAGGACAATGATACTCCATGTGTGGGTGGACTCCATTAAGTTCATTCCTCAGTAGATGGACTTTGGGGTGTTGATTACCTTTGGCTATCACGAGTAGTGCCTCTGCACACTTGCATGCAGAAGTGTTTGAACACCTATTCTCAGTTCTTTCCAGTATGTGTAGGAGTGCAGTTGTGGGTCATACACTAATTCTGTTTAGTCACCAAACAACTTTCCATAGCAGCTACACCATTTTACATTCCCATCAATGCAGGAGGGTTCTGTTTCTCCACATTCTCACAGTTTTTTATTAGATCACGGCCACCCTAGTGTGTGTGAAGGGAAATCTTGCTGTGGTTTTGACTTGCATTTTCTAAATGATCACTGGCATTGAACATCTTGTTATGTGTTCGTTGGCCATTGTATATCTTTGGACAATTATCTGTTCAAGTTTTTTGCCCACTTTCAAATATGTTGTTTGTTGCTGAGTTGTAGGAGTTTTTTATAAATTCTGGGTACTAGATGCATTTGTGGGTTATAATCTTTCTACAGGTAGCTTCCCCTGTGTGTCAAGACCAGTAACTGCTGGGCTGGACAGCCCCAAAGGACATGCCAGCTCAGGTCCTGATGACCCACCAACACCAGCCTTGTCTTCCCCACTGCACCCAAGTGGCCTCATCGTGGCGCGCAGCGTTAGTCGCCTGGAGGCTCCTTGGTGGAAGGTGTCAGGCCCAATCGCAGTGCAGTCTTCATGAACAAGAGCCTGTGAGGGAATTTCCCACGTCTTTGGGTGGCTCGCTCAGGCCAGCAGCACTCAGCACACTAAGTTGATTCTCTGATGGTGACCGGAAGGGTTTGAACCCCATCTCCTATGGCCTGCACAATGCAGGATAGTAAAATGACCCCCGCTTACTTACTAAGCCCAGCCCTAGCTGTGACTAAGAATTAGGCCACATAATTGCCCCCTCCCCATGTTTCTCAAGCCTCTCAGCTTTCCTGCCAGGGACATGGGGACTCTGATGAGTAAATGCCTTCCCTGGCAGCAGCTAAGTGGGGACTGAAACAGTCTGCCTTCACGTCTACACCTCTGAGCCCTTGGAGCACCCACATCATTCTCCATGCTGAGGAGAGCCACCTGCTGTCCCTCAGAGAAGGGGAAGCCTGGCTTTTGCTTCAGACATCCCTGTGGCACCTCTGCCCACCCCAGTCTGGAAAACAGCAAGAGCTGCTGTCCCACGCAGCTGCTGCTGCTTGAGGGAAACTGTCTCTGATGCTTCCTGCTCCTGGAGCAGCTGGAAGCAGAAAACAGGCCCCGTTCTCCCCATAGCCAGCCACTCCGAGCACAGGTCCAGTGCCCAGCAGCACTGCATTGACATCAGGCGCCAGCCCTGGGACACTGGGAGGACAACCTGCTACCCTTCGGGGTGAATTCACAGCTGTCTTTCCTTCTGGGGCCTGTTGCAGCCCAGAACCCAGGGTTCCTGACTAGAATACAAAGATGGCACAGGGTCAATTAGCAAACCAGTGCCTTGCCACTCACTCCCAGTGGCCATCCCTTCTAGGGACATGTGTACACTCACTCCATCCCTGCCTCATTCACTCTGGGAGGTAGTGCTGGGGGTGGCTTGAGAGTTTGGCCTTCCTGCCAGCTGGCCCCAGCCAATGAAACTGTGCTGTCTTGGAAAATTGGCAGCAGCACAAAGATGATCCAAAACACCATTCTCAGCCATTTGTGTTGGCCTTTGTAAGACACCCTGGGTCTCACCCACTACACCCTTAGCTACCTCACTGAATTAGATACACCAGATTGTAATGTTACTGGGATTTTTAAAAAATTATTTTTTGCCCTGGCTAGTGTGGCTCAGTGGATTGAGCGCTGGACTGCAAAGCAAAGGTGCTCAGTCTGGTCTAGGCACATGCCTGGTTGGGGTGTTTAAAAATGAACAGGTAAAGCCTTAAAAAAAACAAAAGATTTTATTTTTAGAGAGGACAAGGAAGAGAGAATAGAGGGAGAGAAACATCAATGTGTGGTTGCCTCTTGCACACTCCCAACCAGGGACCTGGCCCGCAACCCAGACCTGTGCGCTGACTGGGAATCGAACCAGTGACCTTTCAGTTTGGGGGATGATGTCCAACCCAGTGAGCCACACCAGTCAGGGCAAGTTTTTTTTTAGCCTATTTTTCTGATTAGAAAAAAATACATGTACTTTTGAAAAATGCAAATGCGTCATGTACCAGGCTGGTGGCCCCTTGTTTTAGAACAGAAGAGAGGTGGAACAATAGCCCGGGACTGTGGGCTTCAGGCTGCGCTGTGCCTGATCCTGACCTGGGCCCAGCACTCTTCCCATACCTGGAGGAGGGAATGAATGCTTAATGCTAGAGCCCCTGCAGGTTACCTGTCTGTTCTCTGGGACTCCGAGCCTGGCCTCTTGGCCGGCTAGGTCCCAGGTCTTAAGGGGAAAGGCCTGTTTGGAACCAAAAGTCAGGAAGTGCTTTCCTTGTGTGGTTTGCACGCTAGCTCAGAGGCAGTTATTCTGGAGGTAGATTCTGGCTCATTTAGGTCCTCAAACCAGGTGGCTCCTTAGCTAACCCTGAATTGGTTCCATTTTTCCTCAGTGTGCACCAGGGCACAGGCATCACTAGTGGGAGTAGGAACTGCACTTCCATTTTCCACTCAGAGTAGGACGATGTCATAAGATGAGAAGGCAGGATGCGGTGGTGAGTGCCTGGTGCGTGCCTGGTGGAGAGGTGGGCCACACACATTTCCCTGTCAAATGCAGCCTCTTTTCCCTTTCTGCTCCATTGGGTAAGCCACAGCTCAGGGCTTTGGAAAGGGTGGTTTTTCTGGCCTGCTGGCTGAAGTCCTTTCAGAATGCAGTTTGGCCAGATTTCTCAGAATCTGAACTGTGTTTGAGTGCTTTCCATTCCCAGGAATTCCTTAATGAGAAAGCTTGGGTACAAAGACTCTGTTCAGGCCTTAAGACTGAAACAACTGGGCAGATCCACTGTGGGATGACCAGCACTGCCCCTTAACAGAATATCGTGCAGCTAAGTTTTCTCACTTAGCAGCTAAGTATTCTCACTTAGCAGCTAAGTATTTCTGAGGAGACATTCTTATGAGTGAATTTACAAAAACAGTGTGATCTCTGGTAAGAAGTGTTCTTGAGCTATGTGGGTTCTGTTTTAAATTTTTAAGTCCCCGTTTGCCATGTTTGTGGTGGTCATTATTTTATCGGCTCTGGCATTCCTTTAATTCTGAGCCGGTGACATCGCTGCGGCACCAGTCGTCACAACTCCAGGCCTTGGGTCACTCGGTAAAGTTAAACCAAGGGCGCAGATTGACAGGTTTTGGCACCACAGCTGAAGGGTCTCAGTATTAACATGTTTAGACCTTGGGCTGAGACGGCACCTAGGTCAGAGCTGGAACCATCCCGTGTCCAAAGAGAATGGACCAGAGCAGCAGTGCTGGCACAGGCCAGGGCTGAGCTTAGCTCCTCCCACACAGAGTCCTAGCAAAATGGTGACTGGTTTCATTTCTCCGGCTAGGAACTGAAGTCCCAGGTATTAACCATATACCAATACTGTGACCACAAACACCTAATTTCTCTACCATTTCATCCATCCCAGTTTTTTTCTTACTGAAATTATGGTGTGTGAGGGGAAGTTCAGAACCACTGAAAGCATGAGGCCTGCCCAGATGGGGCCATATGTGGAGTTTGGTCATCTAGGTCATCTAAGAGGGCCTCTGGACCAGGCTCACCGTCCTGGCCCACCGCCCCAGCCACACCCAGGCCAGCCTTCCCCAGGCCGCCGGTTGTCCTGAGGAGCACAGCCACCGACAGGAACAGGCTGGGCAGCAGAGGGCCCCTTGTGCTTGGGCTCTGTGCTATTGGGCCAGCAAGTCTCTCTGGTTAGGGGGAGCCACCCCACTTCAGGCCAGGCTCTGTACTAACACTCCCACCAGCAATTACTCCTCACAACCATCCTAGGAAATGGGTGTCACATAATCCCCACTCTACAGGAGAATCCCAAAGCACGACTTCTGACTCCAGCCTGTTCCCTTGCCAGCCCTTGGCTGCCTATGTACCAGCTCCTGAGACAAGTTACCTGAATGTCCCTCAGCTGAGCTGGTCTCCTGCCCTTTGACCCTGGCCAGAGCCTGAGTGCAGTCCTCCTGCTGTCTAAGTGCTGCAGAGGCCTCATGACTTCCAGAGGCAGCCTAGGATCCTGCAGCCAGAGGTGCACACAAGCATCTGTCCCATGTGACATCCCCTTGGATGAAGGAGCACTCTAATCCTGTGCTCACTCCTTGTCATGTAATCACAGTTGGAAGGAGGGTGGTCACCTTAGGAAGTACAATGGATAGAAAGGGGACAAGCAAGTGGGAACGGTGCAGCTGTGGTGCCCACGCCCCAAGTACACATGGTCTCGTTTGTCATGTGGGGACAAAGGAAATAAGCCCAACTTTGGCTTCTTTTGGGACACTGATGTACTTGCCTCTCCGTGTTTTCGGGGGAGGTTGTCCTCCACTGGTGAGGCCACGAGGAGAAACAAGGAAGGTGAAGTAATCACATTTCTCTAATGATATTAGCTGAAAGGCTTGAGGCAGTTCTAGCCATCCCAGAAATCACAGGGGTTTTGAACTAAAAAATTCAGGAAAGAAACAAAACCCTAGTTGGTTCCTATTACAAAAGCAAGACATCACACTAGGACTCTTGTAATCTTCTCCCTCCAGATAACCTCTACCTGTTAAATTGTGCTACCTTCAGGTGGGTCCTGAGACCCTCTGACAAGTTTCCAGAACTCCAAAGGGCTGCTCATGAGAGCTCAGCATGAGTCACACGAATCCTTGTGAATCATTGCTTTTATTCTTGTTCACATTCTTGGAGGCACAGGTCTGCTTCAGCAGGAAGGATACCGAAGATAGGAGGAATACCTGGGAGGGGAGGCAGACCCTCCCTTTCCTATTCCCCACCTTGACAGGCTTCAGTGAGAACACAGGCATCAGCTGAGGGCAGTCATTTGGGCACTGGGGAGGCCAGCCTACACACCAGCCTCTGCTCTCTCGCCGGGCCCACCAGTGGCTAGCGGGACACCCTTGGCTCTGGGCAAGGCAGGCAGCACAGAACCTCGGCTCCTCCAGTGGGGAAGAGGCTCTCCCAGGGGCCTCCACTGCTCAAAGAGGAAGCTCACCTGGTGCTCAAAGGCATGAGGCGGGCAGCTCATCAGGCTAAGCTCCCACTCCAGAATGGAGAAGAGCTCAACAAGCAAACTAGGCCACAGATAACAGTGGAAAACCCCAGGCTCTAAGCCAGCCAAAGCCACGTCCTGCAGGCACCAGGTGACACTGCCCATGGGGGTAAACAACACACGGTGTTTACCATCCTACTCCAGAGGCCTAGAGATGCCTGGAGCTGGCACCCAAGCAAAGCACCAAACTCACCCTCTCAACAGAAAAACAGCTGGCCTTATCTACTGCCTAGAACAGCAGAAGCCATTTCCTGTCAGCGGATTCACTGCTGGTGACAATGGACCAAACCCAAGTCCGGGGTCAGTCCATAAGACCAAGGGGGAGTGTGTGAGAGGCTGGCATTCCAGGCTGCCTGTGAGGCGCCACAGCCATGCTCAGGTGACAGCAACCCAAGCTCTCTGAACTTAGAAGTTCCAGTGACTGTTGCCTATGCACATGCTAACCCTGCAGGCTTAGGTAATGCACCCTCTTTTATCCTGGCAAAAAGCAAAAAAACTGGCCTCCAAATCCCTGGAAGAGAGGAGCGTGCAGCTCACCAGCATCAGAACACGTGCTGCCGGCCGTCCCACCCATCTACAGCAGCCCCTCCGGGGCCTGCAGGCCGAAGTATAGTGCGTAACCCATGTCATCAATCTCCTGCGGGCGCAGGCTGTCGAAGAGGTTCACCGCGGGGTTGAAATGGCAGGGTAGGCTGGCCTGCTCTAGGCTGCCGATGAGCAGCTCCACTGCCTGCAGGAAGCGTGCACCCAAGGCCTCTTCAGCCCAGTTCACATCCTCCTCTCCTAGACGGAGAACCACCTGGGTCAGGTGGCCCCGGCTCAGCTGCCGCAGGGCCGGATGGCCTTGGCAGACACTACAAAGCAGCAGCAACAGCCGACGGCGGGTCCCCAAATCACCGTCATCCAAAGCTCGAAGCCTGGCAGCTTCTGCCAGGTACAAGTCCTGTAGCCAGAAGTTCCCAGCCAGCCCTTCCAGGGGCCAAGCCAGAAGGAGCCGATCCTCCGTATCAGCCCCAGTGACCACTAGGAGCACAGCAACAGTGAACTCCAGGCGCTCATGCTGGACCTCAAGCCGCAGCTCCTCTGAGGCCATGTTGGGCTGGATCAAGCATCCGAGAAGGCTGCCAATAGCTGGCCAGTTGACGGAGGCAGCCAGGGCCTTGCGGAGCAGTTCCAGCAGGACACGGGAAGAGAGATAGCCTCCCACCAAAAAGCGGTCCCAGGGGCTACTTCCACGGGGGCAGAATTCAAGCTGAGTCCTGCGCACAGCCCAGCAGCGAGGGTCCCTGGCCACAGTGTCCACGCCAGGCACTAGCCTCCACAGGCCTGGCTCCAGCACCAGAGGCACCAGGAGACGCACGTGGTCAGCAGCCCCTGCCTGCAGACCATCATAAAGTGGTCCCCCAGGTACAAGTGCCCCAAAAGGTAGTTCTGGGAACTTGCTCTGCAAGTAGGCCTGCAGCTCCAGGGCAATGTCACCAGCCAACTGTTTGGCCAGAGCCACATGAGACACTGGGATGCTCACACGGTCTCGCTCGTATGCCAACAGCCTTTCCTGGAACGTCAGACACAGTGGTGCTGGCGAGCTACGCTGAGGAGCCGGCTGAGGGTCAGCATCTGCGGGCCCCTCTGCAGAGTGAAAGGCCAGGGGACATGTCAGAAGCCCTGTGATGAGCCAAGAGAATGCTACAAAACTACTAGCTGTGTGTCGGCCCTGGGTTTCATTCTCCTCACCCATAAAATGGCCACCTGAGAAGGCACTTAGCTCAGGTCCTCGCACATGCACAGTGGTCTGGTAACAAATTCTCTGGAGCCAAAACAGCTTCATGCAGAGTGGGGAGTTGGGTCCTGGACCTCAGTTTCCCCCTCTGAGGCCCCCCACCGTCTTAAGGCTACTGCCCTGCTCTGGTACCAACCCCAAAGTCCACATGTCCCAGTGGTTGGCGGGAGGGCGGAAAAACATACCATTAAACATGCAGAGAGCCCACAGCCCTGCGGCAGGAGCATCTCGCACAGGTCATAGTCAGTCAGCAGCAGAGCCTGGGCTGCATGCATCTCATCAGTGTGACTACCAAAGGGGCACCCACCCAGGTTAGAGGAGGAGGGGTGCCATTCACCTGGGGCAAAGAGTGAGGGGGCCGAGAGAAGCACAGGATGGCTGAGTGCAGCAGGTGAGGACCGGGGCTGTTGGCATGGCGTGCCCTTGAGCAGGCTCAGTTCCTTCCAACTGTCTTCCAGGCATGTGGCATCTCCCTTGATGTCATCCTCGTCCTGAGGGCTGGTAGCCCTGTCAATGAGCTGCAGGCAGCAGGGTACAGGTCAGAGTGTCTGAAGCCCGGACATCATGGCAAAGCCCCGGGGCAAAGCAAACAAGGTTTCTGGGTGACAGCCTTGAGCAGCCCCCACCCCACCTCCCAGGGCCCCACCCCAGGCCCCAGCCCTGTGATCCTCTTTGGGAAGCCACAAGTGTTAACTGGCCCAGCACGGCCTTACCCGCTTCACAGCCAGGGTGGCAATACCCAGCACGGCAGCCCCGCTCACACCCAGCACCAGGCGGGCATTAGCCAGGAGGAAGTCCACAGCGCTGCCCCACACGTCGTCATCATGCCGCTTCCCCCGTTTCTGGGAGAACTCTGCCATGTCTGTCTGCCTGAAAGAGAGCCAGGGTGCAGAGACCACAGAGTCTGGGGGGAGCCAGGCTGACAGCAGGGCACGTGTGAGTGGGCATTCTGGTTGCCATCCTGCTGTGGTCGCTGACTCAAGCCCACCAGGGGTTCATGAGAGTCTCATGACAAAGAAGCTGCTTGCAGGGTTTCTTGTGAGGGGAAGGGGAATTGCCTGTGCCCCCTTTCCCAAATCTGCAAACTGCCCCCCACACACAGGTGTGCTCACACAGAAAGGTCAGGGAAGGGGCCCATTTCCCCAACCCTATCCTCCAGGATTCCTAACATCACCAAAAGACCTGCGAGGAGGGCCTTATCATAATCTCAAGTTTACAGAGAAACAGGCTGCTGAGGCACACAGTGAACAGTGGGTGCTTGGATCCACGCTGCGAAGCCTCCAGGCTCTCGCCCACCCCGGGAGTCCCTGGAGGCTGCCTCATCCTGGTTCTTAACCAGGGCTAGGCACAGCAGGAGGGAACAAGGTCCAGTGAAAACCACAACTTGCGGCCCTAAAGAGACTGCCCTAGGGGGCCTCTCAGACCTTTGGGGGATCTCAGTGAAGCCATAATTACCTCCAAATTTTGCCAGGGTAGCCCCCAAAGGCAGAGATATCAAAGCAAAGGACAGGCCTAGGGAGATGGGCCCGCTGCCCAGGGGCAGGGGCTGCCTGTCAGTGGGTATGTGCCAGTCAAGGCCAAAGGCCCTGCTGTGCGGGCAGCAAGTAAAGTAACTCTACACTGCTAAGGCTCCAACACAGGACTGGACCAGTGCCTAGGGACGGGGCCTCTCTGCGCCTTTGGTCTTGAGACAATGGGAATGGGAAGCTGTCAGCTGCAGGGAGCCCAAGCAATAGAGAAGGGAAGCTGAAGGCCTGGAGCCCAGCCACCTGCTCACCTGTAAAGTGGCGCAGACAGCAGGGAAGAAGGGTTAGAAGTGAGAAGTCTAGAAGTTGGGCAGCAGAGGCAGAGACCTCTCCCAGGGCTCTATCCACCAGGCCCCAGCCTCAGGTTCTTCCAGAGGGACTCCTACCCTTAGGCCCTGAGAGCTGAGGGTGAAGGTGACTAAGGGGGAAGCCCACAAGACCAGCCAGGCACCAGGCAGAACTGTCTTTTCCAGGGCCAATGACCCTGAGCTCAGAGCCAGCTCTGAGGGCACCAAGGACATCTGCCCTCCCTGTTCGGCTGTGGGTGCTCAGGACTGTTGCCAGGTGAGGAGATGTCTGGAACAGCTGAAGTCTGACTCACTTGGGACCTCAGCCCCAGCCCCAATCCCCCATGCCCCCAGACTAAAAATCAGGCTCTAGGGCCTGGGTTGGTCAAAGGCTGACGGGGTGCCCACCACGGCCCAACAACTGCTATCCGCCTCCAGAGGAACCAGGAGTATGTTTTACAAACTGTAAAGCGCTTTCAATACCCGCCGCCTGTCTAACCTGGGACTCAAGAGAGTCCCTGGCGCGGTCACGCAGGCCCCAACCCACAGCTTTCCAACTCTGGGAAGGGGGAAAAGGAGCGGATGGTTAAAAATAAACCGACTCTGCGCAGCCGGGCCCTACAACGCCCAGGGATGCCACCTGTCTACCCCCTCCTCTGCCAAACCCAGGGTCGGGGCCCCCGCAGTAGTTCCTGGGGGCCTGTCAAGGCCCGAGTCACAAGGCTTCGTGCCCGGGGAGGGCGCGGAGGCTCTGAAAAACTAAGCGATGTACCCAATATGGGATTCGAACTCCAGCTTTCAGGTCCAAAGCCGTTGCCTCATTCGCCGCCCGGCCCCCGGCCCCGGTGGAGGCCACGCCCCCCGACCTGCGTCCTAGGCACGCTCTACGCCGGAGAATGGGTGGCCCTGGACGGGTCCCGGCGCTTTGGTCGTACCTGCGTCGAGGCTTCAGCGCAGCGACCAGCAGACGCAGCGGGTCTCCTCGGGTCCCAAATCCAGACGGGTCCCTGCCTGAGAATGGAATGTGAAGAACTCAGGACCCGAATGTTTTGCGGCTGCTGACTCCGAAAAGCATGCAGACGGGCAGGAGCTGCCTCCAATGAGAGCGCTCAACCCCGCGTCCTCGCTCCAAAATACTACACTATTCAGCCTGTGGCAAAGCAAGCCACGCCCCCTACCGAGCTGCGCGCTTCCTTGGGGGCGGGACTTTCTGAAGCACACCGAAGTTAAAGGTACAGGATTGTGTTCCGAGCCGGCGGCTAGGCAGTGTGGTGCCAGTTCATCAGTTTGCGGAATGAGCTGCCCCCGGAACCTGTTGTGTCGCGTGTGCACTTGTAATATGAGCCTCTGGTGTGGAGAAAGGGGTCTGAGCCCACGTTACTTCCAAGGGCTCGGCAGACTGACGCACCACGCACCGCGCTGCCGTCTGTGAGGCTGACCCTTTAGGTCACCTCTGCGAGAGTGCCTTGGAGACTGTTTAGTCTTATCTATAGGCCCCGGGGCCGGAAACCTACCCCTGCCGCCGGCTCCATGTGACCTCGTGCGGCCCCTTCTCCACCCGGGCCTCAATTTTCTCTCTTTGAAATGGGAACACCAAAACCCATCGCCCCTGAGAAGGATGGTTGTGCATATACCCTATGGTTTATTTGGCATTTATTTCTTGGGGGCCTACTATGTGCCGGTCGGGGGTGGTGCGGCAAGTAAACAAACTGACAGTGTATGTGTGGAGGTGGGGGACGTTGGCTCGAAGCTGGAATAGTAGCGTGAGTGCCGGCTGTGTGCTTTGAGCTACGCCCGCGTTTGTTCATTTGTTTCTGGCGACGACCTCAGGAAGCATTTCACAGATGAGCGCACAGGCCGAGAGCAGCCCTGGGCTTGCCCAGAGCTCTAGGACCGAGGGCTCGGCCCAGGCATCCTACTCCCAGTGGGCGCCACGCAGCGTCCTGCGTGCGGATAGAGACTCCCGGGGAGGGCAGCTGCGTCCCCGGGCCTGGGCTCCAGCACCAGGGAGGCAACTTCGGCGGCAGCAGCAGTGCTGGAGACGGGTGCTGCAGAGCCCGGGGTGCACCACTGCCCGGGGCGCGCGGGGACTTCTTAGCCTGGAGATTATGAAGCCTCCTTCACGAGCACATGGGGCCCCGGACTCCTGGGAGCCCCTCCAGTCCCGGAACAGACGGGGAAGCTGAGCCCGGAGCAGACTAAACCCTCCCGGGGCGGGACCGGCGCTTCCGCAGTGCCTAGGGGCGCCAGGGATGGAGGAACTGGGCCCCGGCTCCGCCTTTCCGCCCGACGGGGCGGGGATGGGTTAAAGGGGCGGGGTCAGTGGTGGCCCAGCCCGCAGCTCCCTCGCCACCCTCGCCACCCCCGCCCCCCGGTGCCCGGCCCGGCCTTGCAGTGAGAGCGGCGCCATGGAGGCCACTGGAGTGCTGCCGTTCGTGCGCGGCGTGGACCTCAGCGGCAACGACTTCAAGGTGAGCCAGACCGGTGCTGGGCCGGGCTCCCCTCCAAGCCGTCTCTTCCGGTCCTGCCCGCGCCGGTCTCTGCTTCCTGTCTTGTCCGCCTCCGAGCACAGTGACTGAGGGCGGGGCCGGGTGGGGCTCTGCTAGGGCTCCGATCCCGAGCTCCGAAAGCTCAGCTCAGGGCCCGCACAGGAAGTCCGAGGCCGGGTCGGGCTGGCTGCGACGCCTGAGCTCTGAGTCTCGCTAGGGGGTGGGTTGGGAGCCCCTACCCCGTGTACCCGTCCTGGCATCTGGGCAGGGGTCAGTGGATTCTGCCCCCACTTTCCCAGCCTTCCGTTCCCATCCCGCTGAGGTCACACGTCCAGGCCAGGCCCTGACTCACTGCCGCGCCGCGGGCAGTCCGACTGCCTTGTTTGGGTCTGCAGCTCGTCACTGCCACTGCCACTGCCTTGTTCCTGCCACCCCGACCCAGTGTGGTCTTGGGCAAGTCCCTTCCCTTCGGTTTAGAAGTTACCCTCTTGGAGCATGGATTAGTAGTTGGTTTGGAGAGTGTGCCCCGCAGGTGTGGGAAGCCCCGGGTGGCAGCTGCCAGACTGATGGACCAGGGCCACCAAGAACCTTAGCCCAGCCTTCCAACCATTTGTGGGTAGGGCCTTTCAAAAGAGTGAAGGATGAGGCGGGCAGGGGAGTGACCAGAGGAGGCAGGGCAGGAGCTGAGGGAGGTGAGAGCTGGCCTGGTGGTACTAGGAGACCCCACCCAGGATGAAGGGTGGGAGAGTGGGCAGACTCAGGCTGGAGTTAGTTTAATGTCAGCCTGGTGTGTAGGGTTGGTGAACCCAGATGTCAGCTGAGGTCAGGGGTTTGTCTAGCCAAGGCCCAAAAGGTGGGCAGGTTCTTCTGCATTTATCCATATATGCACGCACTTTGACCCCACATATAGGTAACCACACCACTTTCCTCTACCTCCATGCCCACCATCCTCACCTGGGGTCTCCATGTGTTTTCTCCAGACTTAAAGTCTGAGTCATTGGCCAGGAATGTGGCTATAGGGGAAGGGGAAACCAGCCAAGGGCACTGAAGGCACATGCTACCCCAGTCTCCCTGCCACAAGGTTTGGGGGCTACTGAGGTGGGCATTCATTCGAATGTGGGAGTGAATGAATGAACGAGGCAGTACCTATGCAGGGTGGGGAGTTGGGGCCTTGCACCAGGGCTTTGGACCTTGTCACAAATGGCTTGTATGCTGATGATGAAGGGCACAAGTAGAGGCTCAGGGGCTACCCCCACAGCAGAGGGTGCAGGCAGAGCCTGGAATGCTGGGCAAAGGCATTTGAGCCAAGCTGACCACATAGCTGGGTGCTGGGGATGTCACCCGGAACAGTTCCATCCTGACCTTCCTGGGGCTCAGAACCAGCAAGAGATACAGATCTTGGGCCAACAGCCATCCTGATAATTAGTTGGTCCTCACAACACTTCTGTCATGGGGGGGGCTTTTATTAGCCCTGTTTTATGTTGAGGAAATTGAGGCACAGAGAGGCAAAGCAATTTGTCCAGGGTCACACAGCTGGTAAGAGTTGGCTCTCTTGCTTCCCAAAGGTTTCCATGGGCAGCTGGGGGCCATAGTGGGTGGTAGAGCAGGGACATGCCTCTCCCAAACCAGCTTAACCATGAATACCCCCCAGGGAGGCTACTTCCCTGAAAATGTCAAGGCCATGACCAGTCTGCGATGGCTGAAGCTGAATCGCACCGGCCTCTGCTACCTGCCTGAAGAGTTGGCTGCCCTGCAGAAGCTGGTAAGGGGTTTTCAGTGGGCAGGGTGGGTGCCCGTGGATGGGGCTAGACCAGGTACAGAAGGAAGATGACAGAGAAGGATGTCAGTAGCCATGAGCAAAGCTGGCAAAGAGGGAGGAAGCACCCTGTCCCATGAAGCATGCAAGATGGGGTCTGTGAGGGAGGGGTGCTGCAGAGGTGGAATGGGGCTGTGTGGCTGAAGGACCCCTGAATGGGCAAAGTTGTGGTGGCAGATGGAGACCCCATAGACATCCCTCTCACCCCACTGAGCCTTTGCTCCCTTGTCCCGGCCCAGGAGCACCTCTCTGTGAGCCATAACCACCTAACCACGCTTCATGGGGAGCTGTCCAGCCTGCCATCTCTTCGGGTGAGTGTTGCTAGGGACCACCAAGTTTGGGGTGGGGACTTGAGCCCACCAGCCAGGGGCATGAGGGCAGGGCCAGACCCCAGGCTGGAGCATCACCTCTTCCTATCCTGGCGTCAGGCTCAGGGATTCACTTCTGAAGGGGAGAGGATATAATAATGTCCTGTCTTAAGTAACCCATGGGGAAAGAAGGTGAAAAATCCAAAGCCAAAGTCCTGGATCTTAAGGACTGAGGCTGCTTGAGTTCAAATTGGCTCTGCCACTTCCCGCCTGCTAACCTCAGACAAGTCCCGCTATCTGGGGAGCTTTTGGTGGGGGACCATTGTGAAGCCACAGGGCACCGACAGGGCTAAAGGAGGAGCAGCAGCAGCCCTGGGCCCTGCTGTTACTTGCAATCCCTGCACCATTCCCCGACCTCTCCTCTGCCCCTTGACCTTTTTATGTTTGCAGCACGAGGTTTCAGTCCTCGGGAGAAAACACAGACCACACTGATTTCTCTTTGGGCCAAGCCTTTCTCTCTGTTCTAGAAGCCCTGACTCAGAGCTGCATCCCTGTCTTGCCCTCCCTGGACAGAAGAAGAGGGATTGTTCAATCAGAAAAGCTTCCCTAAGGATGCTGTGCTGGGCTCTGGGGCTCATTTGAGCTGGGCTTTGAGGTGTGAATAGGAGCTCATGGGGAGAAAAGGAAGAGCCTGCCAGGTGGAGGGACTGTGAGCAAAGGCCAGGGTGGGAGAGCATTCAGGCCTGGCCTCCAGGGAGCCTCCTGAGGAGAGCGCCTCCCTGATCTCTCTGTGTCCCCTGGGGGAGAAGCCAAGAATCACAGACTTTTGTGGTTTACCCCCAGGCCATTGTGGCTCGAGCCAACAACCTGAAGAATTCTGGAGTGCCTGATGACATCTTCAAGCTGGAGGACCTCTCAGTCCTGGTCAGTGGTTATCCACCCATGACAATGGTCTTTGGGACCATTGTTACCTCATTTTATAGATGGGGAAACTGAGGCTTAGAGTAGGCAGTGCCTTGCCCAAGGTTACTCATAGAGTCAAAGCCTTAGCCTAGGTACCCTCCTGCCAGAGTCCTGGCTGTCTCCTTTTAGCCCTGAAAACCCCTCGTCTGCTCCCTTCTCAGTGCCTGGCCTGATCTCCCAGCCTGGCAGAAGACTGGCAAGGTGAGACTAGCCCTGAACCCTAACCTAGCCTTACCCCTCCTACCCAGGACTTGAGCTACAACCAGCTGACAGAGTGCCCTCGGGAGCTGGAAAACGCCAAGAACATGCTGGTGCTGAACCTCAGCCATAACAGGTGCCTGTCAGGCCTGGAGGGTGAGCCAGGCAGGGCCGAGATGCAGTAGGGGCCAGATGGGTCCCAGAGGAAGGCGTGTGGCACTGACCCGGCGGCCCCACTGGCCTTGCCCCCTTTCTCCCTCCCTCTTCCCACAGCATTGACACCATCCCCAACCAGCTCTTCATCAACCTCACTGACCTGCTGTACCTGGACCTCAGTGAGAACTGCCTGGAGAGCTTACCTCCGCAGATGCGCCGTCTACTGCACCTGCAGACGCTCATTCTCAACGGGAACCCACTGCAGCACGCCCAGCTCCGGTCGGCACTGCACGGGCCCGGCCCCTCTGCTCCCCAGCAACCCTGACCCTTCCCATCCTGGGTTCAGTGTGGGCTGTGCCCCTCAGCCAGGCCGAACCCGAGTCCTCTGTCCTATCACCTCACCCCACAGCTGTCTTGGGCCTTCCCTTGGTCTGACCACCCACATTGTTCTGCAGGCAGCTCCCTGCTCTGACGGCCTTGCAGACCCTGCACCTGAGGAACACCCAGCGCACCCAGAGCAACCTCCCCACCAGCCTTGAGGGTCTGAGCAACCTCACAGGTTGGCAGTCCCTGGGTGACCCATCAGCCTCTGGTCCCCTCAGGTCCTTCACTTCCTGTGGAGGAAGGGGTTGAACCCTGCTTCTCTGACCATCTCCCAGGAGCAAAGGCTAGCATGTGGTTATGTTGTGCTTGTCTCTGCCATTGCCGTGATGACCAGTGGT